GTGTGTGGTGTCCTGCAGCTGATGCAGGATGTGTCTGTGTGTGTGGGGGGGTCCTGCAGCTGATGCAGGATGTGTGGGGGGGTGTTTCACTGCTCTGCTGCCATTCCAAGACTCTGCTCCACTCCGTATGTGGGGGTTGAGGCTTCCAAGAGCAGCAACCAAATGTCATGTGGTTTTGAATCCTAGCAACCTGAGATGCTGCCTCTGTTCCCTGCAAAGACTCAGTGGATCATCACTAACATGCCCAGATGTGCTCCCTAGCTGGCTCCTTCCCTGGGGGCACTCAATGAGCCATGTTTTTCTTGTCTTCCTCCAAACAGGGCAAAGAAGAAAGTTATAGCTCCCACTAAGGTGAAAATAAAGGTGAGTTCTGTTTTCTGGCTCTCATGGTTGGTATGTGCCAAAAGTCAAGTGGCTGCCATCCTAAACCCTGTGTTTGAACTTTGTACCTGTACATCAGCTACTGTGAAATGCTCTGCTCAGTATTTGGCTTGGAAAAAACAACTGGAGCCACAGCTAAAAATGATGGCAGTGGCAGCTGGGAGGGAAGTGGGGGCTCGGGGGCACAGAATATGTGTATCTTGCCTTTTATCCCCAAATTGTGAACCTTCCCTCCCTTTTTCAGTAGTAAACCCTGTCTCTCTTCTGACTGTGCCTTCTCCTGTGATGTTGTTCCAGGACTCTTCCTGCAAGCCAGACAAGAAGCTGTTGGTGTCAGTCCCTTCTCTGCACTCGAGCAGCACCTTGGCAATGTCTTCAGAGTCCCAGGGAGGAGCCCTGGGCATCAGTGCCCAAACCAGGGAACTCTTGTCCCTCGGGACAGCCCAAGCTGCCAGCAGCACTGCCACTCCTGCCACCTTCAAGGATGACTCCTTGGATGAGGACTTGATTCACAACCCCACCTCCTCCCTGGAAGCAGTGTCCAAGGAACTGGCTGTGCTGAACAGCAGGGCAGCAGCGAGCCCTGACTTTACTCTTCCTGCAGCTCCAAAAGCTCCACCAGAGAAAATCCCAACTCTTGCATCCTCAGAGGAGAAGAGGACATTTCCAAAGCCCAACCCTTCCCCTACATCTTCCTCTGCTTCCCTCCAGTCTCCTCTAAACTTCCTAGCTGAGCAGGCCCTGGCGTTGGGCCAGTCTTCTCAAGACAAGAAGACAGAGAACTCAAATTACAAAGAGCATTCCTGCCAAGCCTCCCCCAGCAAAATCCTTCCTGATGCTCACCAGGCTAAACAGAAGCACCACAGCCTGGTCAGGCCAGGCCACGGGCCCCCAGCCTCAGGGCCGGTGCCGGGCTCTCAGGTGAAGGTGTTCCACCCTGGTGCTCAGCTCCAGAAAACCTTCACCTCCCCAGCTCCCTTTGTCAAACTGCAGAACCCCAAGTCCTCCACCCCTGTGCCCCAGCGCTCCCTCCTCCAGCAGGTCAAGTCATCAACCAAAGCTCAGAGCTTCCATTCCTCCACGTCCCCAAGCAGCACCCAAAACTCCAGCAGCTCCCACAAGAGCCAAGGCTTGTCCTCATCATCTCTCAGCTATGCTGGCAAGCACTCGAGCAGCTCTGGCTCTTCAGGACAGTCTTACAAATCGCCTTTTGTCGCTGGGTCCCTCTCCAAGCACGGGGCTTCTTCCAGCAGCTCCTCCTCTGGAGCTTCTGCCAACCAGGGCAGTTCCTCTGGGACTTTGCTCCCCAGTGTTCCAGCCCCTTCCCCAAGCTCGGCCTCCAGCCGCCCGGCCTCGGGCTCCTCGGTGAAGAAAACTCCCGTTTCCCAGAAGCTCACCCTGGTGGCACCTCCTGGAGGCTCCAACGGAGATTCCAGCGGGGGCACCCAGGGGGTGGCCAAGCTGCTGACCTCGTCCCTAAAGCCAGCTGTGGTCAGCAGCACCACAGCCTCTACCTCTGTGCCGGTAAGGGGGCTGTGCTGGGAGCTCCTGCCTTGCTCACGCTGCCCGTAAGGGGGCACTTCAAAAGCAGTTGCTGAAGTTCTTGAATGACTGTCTGGATTTTAGCTGCTTTAGACTAAAAAGTTGTGGCCTTTGCCCTGGGCTTGCCCTTCAGAATTCCAGCTTTCAATTTCAGCTTAAATAACCACTAAGCTGAATACTGTGCTGCCTTCCAAAGGGCAGTTTTTGCCCAGGCTTGTGTTATGGTCCTGCCCTGGCTCTGCGAATTATGGGGACAGTGGGGCTCCCATTTGGATTAAGAGAAAGTGCAGTAAGGTAATTTATTACAAGAGATAAAATTCATTGCATAATCTAAAAGTATAATGATGAATTTGTTATTAATTAGATCTTAGCCTTCTTTAAATTATTCCAGGTCATTATAGTAATGTAGCCGTGGAAAGGGGTTTTAACCCTTTAAGTGCAGTGGAAATAAGATGCACAGCTACATGGTCGTTTTTCATGACAGGAAGAAAGAGACAAGTTTATTCAGATACACACTTGGTTTTATAGCATGACTTGCAATTCCAAGAGTAGAGAAAAGGTGATTGGTTCAGAGACAAGACACCCCATTGCCAGGGCCTGGTCATGTACCACAACAGGTGTTCTATCTTGTTATTAATTCCTTTTTATTTTGATCAAATTATCACCCTGGGAGTCTCCCTAGCCTTGAGCTGGACCAGCTTATGGGCTGGGAACAGAGCTGAGAAGCTCCAGCCTGGAATATTTTTCAGGCTGTAATTTTCTTACTTTCTTAATATGTGTCCCCCATAGTATTATTGCCACTTCTGTCATGGCTGGCCCGTAGAATAAATAACCTGTGGTTATAGAATCATCCAGGTTGGAAAAGCCCTCTAAGAACATGGAGTCAAACCATTCCCCCAGCACTGCCAAGGCCACCTCTAACCTATGTCCCCAAGTGTCACATCCACATGGCCTTTAAATTCCCCCAGGGATGGGGACTCCACCACTGCCCTAGGCAGCAGTGCCAGTGCCTGACCACCCTTTCCATGAAGAATTTTTCCCAGTGTTTTTTGGGATAGAGCATTTCAGGAAGGACTTCTGGGTTGTCAGTACAGACTTGTGTTATTACAATATTGTATTACTTCGTGGTATAAGGGGCTTGGTTTTTATCTATAGCAAAAAAGTAATAGTTCGTAATGTTGCATTCATTTGCTGTTGGCTGCTCATCCCTGCCTTCCTTTGTGCCCCATGGAAAGAGCTGAGAAATACAAGGAGTGTATTTAATTGGAAAGCATGTACTGCTCAGCTTATGTAGCTTGTCTGTTCCTGAGACAGAGAGCTGGGAAGCACTCCCAGGTGGTGAGATCTGTCCATGAGACAGATCCTAAATAACATCCCGGGGTGCCTTGGGTGTCAGACCTCAGTGCCTGGAGTTGTCAGCAGTGTGTGCTGCCATAAGTGAGTAGGAAGCATACCCCTGGAACTCACAGGCAGTGTGGAAACCTTTCCTCTGCCTAATGGAAGCACAGTTCCAGAGCAAGGGAGTCATGGAGGCAATTCCAGTGTGGCCACATTCAGTAGAGCTGCCTTGCCAATGTCCATCTGCAAATGGCCTCAAGTGTTGGCATTTCTTGGGCCCAGGCTGGGAGGGTGCTTTTTCCAAGGGGGAATTCTTGAACATTCCATGTTTTGCAGATCTGTAAGTATGAATGATGCTGTGCCTTGGTTCTCCCTCTCCTGACTGACCTTTTCCATTGCTTTGCAGAAAGGAACTAGTGGAGCTGTGCTGCTAACGAGTTCTTCCTCCTTAAGTGTACTGGCTCCATCCTACAAGTCCAACAACCCAAAGCTGCCAGCTGCCCTGAGCTCCACCCCGTTAGGTATTATCTCTCCTATTCATTCTTTCCCTCTCCATGTCATCTCCTTCAGTTCCGACTCCTCCCCAAAAGCAGGAGTTTCCAAGGATGCAATAGTTACAGGACCTGCTCCGGGAACTTTCCACCACGGCCTCGGGCACAGTGAGTATCCTGCTGGTCCCTGTGTGTCCCTTGTGCCTGTGCTGTCACATACAACATCAGTGCTCTGCTGGGCTGGCCCAATGCACACCAGCCCATCTCTCTGGCTGTTGCTTCATGCTGTGGTCCCTGCTTTTGTATCTCCAGCAGTTGCATTTGGAGAACCTTGGGCATATCCCTAGAGCTGGCCCAGAAGTGCCAATAACTGGAAGCTGACTTCTGCTAACTGCTGCAGCTCTGCTCATTTCTGTCTTGGATGTGTATTTGTTCCTTTTTTCCCTCTCCTCTCTTTGTTTTTCTCTCTAGGTCTTCTGGCTGGTTTGCACTCCAGCCCCCACCATGCAGCGCCACTCCCACACTCTGCCCTGTCCACTCATTTACCACAGAGTTTGCCAGGTAACTTGTCAGATGCTCGTGTTTGTCTTCTACCTCGTGAGTCTCCCTCTGTCTCAGCAGATCCTTTCTTCAGGGCTGGAGCCAAAGGGGTTGTCCATGTTTCCCAGTTGTGGGGTTGTCACCAAAGCCCCTCTGAGGTACAGAGTGAGGGACTGGGAGCAACCTGGTCTGGGGAAAGCTGTCCCTGCCCATGGCACTGGGTGGAACAGGATGGGTTTTAAGGTCCCTTCCAACCCAAACCATTCCATGATTAGGAAGAAATTCTTGTCTGTGAGGGAGGTGAGGTCCTGGCACAGGGTGCCCAGGGTAATCAAAGAAGCTGTGGCTGCCCCTGGATCCCTGGAAGTGTCCAAGGCCAGGCTGGACAGGGCTTGGAGCAGCCTGGGACAGTGGAAGGTGTCCCTGCCCATGGCAGGAGGTGGAATGGGATGAGCTTTAAGGTCCCTTCCAATCAAACCATTCTGGGATTCTGTGATTTCTGGAATGATGAGTCCTCAGTGCTTACAGCAAGTGTTGGTTCCTGGAGATACTCAGAATTATCCTGCCAGGATGAAAGCTGTGCCTGTTTGTGCACAGCCTTCCAGGATTGCCCTGGAATGAATATTCCAGCTCTGTGGAGTTTTGTTCCTGGTGACCTACATAAAATGTGTCAGACCAGACTGTCTTGTGTCTGTGCACTGAGTTAATTGCCAGCATCTCCTTCACGACAAGTTTGTAGTGTAAATGCAAATTGCTGCACTTGCTGCTCACAATGGGAGGATTTGGCAGTTAAGCCTGTTCCTGCCCCACTTTGATGCCTGCAGAAGTGATGCATAAAACAAGAGTTTTCCAAAGAAGGAGAGAAGTAAGGAAAATTGAAATTCAGTGCCAGCAGATCATGCTTACCTGCTTCAGGGAGCTGCTTACTCCCCAGGTAACTCCTATTTCTGCCTTCTCAGGTGTGTTCTTTAGCACTTCAGTGCAGTTCAGTGCCATTATCTTAGTACCTGCTCCTGTTGGGATGGTCTTCCTGGTCTAAATGAGGCTGATTTAGGAGTGCTAGCCTGTTCCTGTGGCTGTGTGCATGGATAACCATGTAGCTTCCTGGAGGAGTCATGGAATAAAAGGCCCTTGACTGCTGAGCACGGTGCTTGTTTGCTGAAGAAAGAAGAGTGCATTGTGCACTCGTGAAAATGCAAAGAAGTGGTTGAGTTTGCTTCCTTGGCTGAAGTTTTGAGGTGGGCTGTGCCATGCTGGTGTGGTAGAGCTGAAGAAGGTCCTAGCAGTGATCACTGATGTGGCAGATCCTTCCTTTCTGTTTGTAAATCACACTTCCTGGAATGAGATCAGGGATCACACCTTGAACATGGTTTGTGGAATATATTCTGTGTCGCTGAGAAGGAGCTTTTTGTCCCTTTAGTTGGGGAAATTCAGAGTGATCATTTCACTGTTGTATAAGGCTTATAACAGAAGAATTTTTGATGGACTCTTCAGCAGGATGTAGGGCCAGAAGACAAAAGACCACTGGGAATAAGTGAAGGAAAACTGACCATGGATAGAGCTTCAGCAAGGACCTGCTTTCTCACTTGGTGTTTTCACTTCAAGATTGGGGATGGAGCCTGGTGCTGCCATCTCTTGGAACATTCCCAGTTCTGGTGTTTTGTAGAAGAGCACAGTAGATGTTTAAGTGACCCCCATAACCTTAAAATGAATTCCTGTGTTTTGTGGCACAAGCTGTGTTTGGTTGTGCCAACATCTGTCCACAGCTGCATTGCTGTGTCTGAACGTGGGAGGTTGCTGCAAATCAAGGGAATGTTGGTGCCCTAAATAAAAGTGCTTTTATATCCATGTTCATCCAAAAGCCTCTAAGCAAAGAGCATCCAGTGCTTGCCTGTGTGTGGTCAGTGCTGCTGTTGCTGGTGGAGGTGCCTTGTGCTGGGGCTGGGAATGTGGAAATGGGAATGTGGCAATGGGATATGCTGGGCTGAGCTCTTGCATGCAAGGAGCTGTTCTTGGCCTGCAGGAGAAGCTGCTGCTGCACTGCTGGGTGCCACTGCTGCTTAGCTGCACGTCTCAGTACTCCCGTTGTTCATCAGTGTCTGAAGTAGTTTTAATTGCTCCTGGAAAACTTTTGCTTCCTTAAACTTCCTTCCTTTTCCCCTCTTCAGTGCATTTTCTCTTTTTCTCCTCATCCATTCCTTTCTGTTCCATCACTGGTGAGATTCCTATGGATCCTGTTGCTATCAGTGGGCACCTAAAGCCTTAATTTAAAAGGCACCTAATTAAAGAATTTAAAAAATAATTGCTAAAGCAGTTAAAGCCGTACCTGAAAGGAGTTAGTAGGTGAGAGGTTGGCCTCTTCTCCCACACAACCAGTGACAGGATAAGAGGAAACAGCCTGAAGCTGTGCTAGGGGAAGTTTAGGTTGGACATCAGGAGGAGTTTCTGCATGAAAATGGTGGTCAGGCATTGGCAGGGGCTGCCCAAGGAGGTTTGGAGCCTTCATCCCTGGAGGTGTCCAAGGAAGGCCTGGACATGGCAGCCAGTGCTCTGGGCTGGGGATAGGTTGGACTCCGTGGTCTTGGAGGTCTTTTCCAACCTCAATTGATTCTGAGATTACAACAGCAAAAGTGTACAACAGCTTACTTCCAACCACACCATGTATTTTGGGATTCCTGGAGGGGGAGGTGTGGCAGGGTAGATTTAGAGAAGGACACAGGCTAAGGAGTTCCCTGGCAGCTGGAATTGTGCTACAGGGTTCTTCTGGGAGCCCACAGGGGACCCTCAGTTCTTCCCTTGTCCCTTCCTCAGGGGCTGGGCTGCTCCCAGTGGAGAGATGTCTCCAAGCACATCCTCTTCTTCCTGAGTCTTTGATGCTGGGAGGGAAGAGTAGATCTTTCCCTCTGTGCAGAGGCCTGGCTGTCCCATCTGCCCACCCCGCATGGGCTGGTGCTGAACCCCCTTCCCAGCTGGTTTTATTTTCTTTCAGATGCTTCTCAGCTCCACGGCAAAGGGTCCAATGCACAGCAGCGCAAGTTGTGACGCCTGCAAGGAGGGGAGCTCCAACACCCATAGGATAAAACCCAGAGGAACAGGTCATGGACTTTGGATACCAGCTGTATTTTGATTATTATTTTGATTTTTTTTTCTATTTCTTTTTTTTACGACAACTGGAGAGACTAAACTGCACCGAGGAACTCATTGGGGCATCTGCTCAGAGGCTTTTGGAGCTGAGCCCCACACATGGGGCCACCTTGAGCCATGCCCTGATGAGAGGAGCCTTTTGTAGCACTGTTTTATTGCTGCTGCCCTTCTTGCATTCCCTGGCACTGGCAGGAGCTGGAACTCACAGGGAGGCTCAGTGGATTCCCACCCACCTGTGTCTGTAGCTGCCAAGTACCTCCAAGTCCAGTTACCTCCTTGGTCTCCCCGTGGAGGGTATGAAAGGTGCTTCTTTCTTCTGCTTTGGATTTACTTGGATAATTCTAGCACTGCCAGTGCTTTCTTGACGACATTTGAGTAACTTTCCAATTGTACTATAAAACTGTGCTACACTTCATTGGAGGATTTAACATTTCCTGTGTGGTGAATCTGAGGAACCACCTGATGTTCCCCTCTGGAAGAGAAGGAAGACTCTTTAGAGATTAAAGACATTTTTAGATGCAGTCATTGACTTTTAGAATTCTACTTCTTTTGAGGTTTTGGATTTTTTCCCTCCAAAGGGATGCTTTTTTCCTGTTCAGTTTTATCCTCATTGCCATTGAATGCATTGGATTGAATGGGACACTTCTTAGCATGTCACATGGATCGGAAGACATAATTCCAGTGCCTTTTATGGTGGAGCAAGAATGGACTAGTGACACACATTTCAGCCCTATTTTGTGTGCTCCTCAACCCTTTTTTAATCATTCTGTATTTAAAATGTATTCTGGTTTATTTAATAGAGCTTTTTATGGTTGCACATCAGAAAAACAAAAAAAAAGGTGAAAAAAAAAAAAAGCTGCACTGTCTGGACTTCAGTGGTGACCTGGTGACTGAGCACAGTCCCAAATCCAGCAGGAGCACCAGTTCTCATCCCAGTATGTGCAGGCGGGTTCCAGGCCCTCCCCTAAAGCCATTCTTTCCTAGGGTTGTGAGTTAGGATCAGATTGGTGGGCAGAGGGAATGAGTGAGATGAGCCAAGGTCACGACCTGTCAAAGGAATTCCAGAGAAAACCCCTGCTCTCCTCAATGGTACCTGCACCAGGATCATGTGCTCAGCACAGCTGCAGGAACAGGGACCATCTACAGTTGGGGAGTGTCTTTTCTTGTTCGTTTTTTTAACTTTTAGACCTAAATACTCCTCCTGCACACCCCCTTTCAGGCTAAGGGCAGGCTGAGGCTCCACCTGAGCTTTCTGAGGTTTGGTTTCCTGCTCTGCCCAGTCTGTCTCCTCTCAGGCCCCCACAGCCATGGCCCAGCTGTGCAGTGGTAGCGCTGATCTACGTAGACTTTATTGGTATTCCCAGGAAAAGCTTGTAGCTTCCTCCTTGAGCTTTGGGGAAGGATGCTGAGCCCAGGATACCAGCAAATGTCTGCTTTAGTTTCCTCTGGTTTTTGTTAAGATCCAGGAAAGACTGTTTTCAATTTGAGGTGATACATAACTGCCCAAGATCAGCGAGTTGATTGTATTTCAAACTAATGGTTGCAGCTCAGATTTCAAGTGTGTTTACAGAAAATACCTAGGTTGTAGCAAAAGAGCCAAAGACAGAACTCGTGGGGGTAAAACGAAGCACAGCATTTCTTGGTGGACTGAGCAGTGGATGTCGTGTGGTTCCTGATGAAGGCCTCATCCTGAGGGGTGCTTGGCACCTTCACCTTCCCCTGGGAGCTGAAAGCTTGGCACACCTGGCAGGACAGGGGCTCTCAGTGAGTGACTCGAGGTACTGGTTCTCCTCCTTCTCTTTGCTTTCACTTGAACGCTTCTGCTGGGATCCCCCGTGTGCAGAATGCCCTCCTTCTAGGAATTTAGCGAAGCCTCTTGCCTCAGGGAAATGTTTATGTGGTGGAAATTCTGTGGGATATTTTTTTCTTTACATGCTATAATGAATGAGTGAATGGTGTGGAGCAGAGTGGCAGCAAGGCAGGCCCACGCAGAGCAGCTGATGGGGAGCCAGGCTGGCACCTCTGCCTTGGTGAGGCAACTTGCAGTGCTTCCAGGATGGAATGGGGGGGGATAGGCTCCCATGGCACTTACCTGGGGATGGCAGTTCCTTTTTGGGTGTAAAAGCTGCAGTTTACTATTCTATTTTTTTTTATGTGTGTTGGCACTGTCTTGCTGAAGATGGTGGGGGTGATATGAAAACTGTTAATCTTGTACAGAACAACTCAATAAATTGTTTCAAACTTTCCAAAACGCTTTTATCCCCCCATCTCCTTACCTCTAGTTCCCTGACTTTGTTTCCAAGAACTTCTCTTGCAGCTTGAATGCTCATCTGTGTCTTGAGTGAGTAATGAATTACTGATTGTTTTCAAGTCTCCTCTGTGGTGAGTGAATGGCAGCTGTGTTACAGATGTTGTAGGGGTAGGAATGTTTCTTTTCATTCCCTGTGCTCCTACTGGTGCTTGAAGTTGGCCTCTGCTGGAAAGGACTTGTGGGGCTTAGACCCCAGAGCACCGGTGTGATCCTCCCTGATCCCTTCATTCACAAAGATAAAATGGTGGTGTTAATCCGCAGTGCTAGGAAGGATAAGGAATGCTTTTGTGGACATCAGAGCTCCCTGGGGTTTGGGTATTAGCTGAAATTTGGGGAAAAGGGAGTGAATGGGCTCTGGTGCCATCCCAGTGTAATCCACTGTTCTCCTGCACCTGCAGTCAGTCCCATTCTTTAGTGCACTTCACTCCCATCTAATGTTAATTATTATCTTAGGTGCACTTCACTCCCAGCTCCAATGCTGCTCCAGCAATTTTCCCCCTTGAAAAAGAGCCAACAGCTGAAGTGAATAATCTTAGTGTTTTAGTTCTGACTCCTAAATGGCAACTTCTTGTATAGCCAAAGATCAGCAGGCTGCCATAATTAATAAAGACCAAACACCTTCTGATTGGGGCCACTGCATTTTTATTTTGTACTATAAATAGAATTCCCCTCTAGTCCCCATTACACGAGTAAATGAAACATGTTAGCTGCATGTAACTCCATCCAGGAAAACACCAGCACTAACAGCTTTAACCACGAGGGAAGGAGCTGTCTGTGGGAGGCCCTCTGCATTGGGTTCCCTTGCATGCTGTGCACAACCCTTTGTGTCTGGTGGTTCTGCCATCTCTTCATGTCCTTTTCCTTGACCTCTGGGGTGTGTGAATGCTCCTCCTGGATCAATGGCTGGTGCCATCAAAGTACACCTTCACTCTTCTTCAGCAGCACAGGCACAGAGGTGAACGAATAGTGGTGGTGGGTCTTGATGTGGTTATTGTGGACTGAAACCTTGGCTTCCACAGAGCTGGTTTTCTCAGAGGACGAGCCCATCATTGAGTCAGTTGTCCACAGTGGGACTGTCTGGCTTATCAACATGCAGCTGACATAACCAGCTCCTGCTGGTCACCTCGGAGTCACCTGGACCTTCAGTCTCTCTCCTGACACGGCTTCGTACACGATTATGTGAGTAGGAGTTGAGGGAACTGCAGGTTCTACTGAGTCTTGGGACTTGAGGCACTTCACTGTCCTAAGGCTTTCTCTTGTTTTCTGGTAGGCAAGGAGGAAGAGGGGGAGAAGGTTTGGCAGATGTTTTCCACTACTGGTGGTGTTTTCTGCAGTATGTGACAGCAAGCAGTGTGGCTGCATAGCATGGCCGGGGCAGAGGCTGTAGCAGTTTGGAAGACGCGAAGGAGGGCGGGGCTTTGCAGTGATCTGGATGTCTGCAAGGTGCTGCAGCTCTGACTGGCTGCTCTTGAAGTGAAGTTTCTAAAGTGGAGCGAGCGCTGTGTAATTGCTTCCGGACACCAGGACTGCCAGCTCCTGGATAGACATCTCCTTGTTGAGGTAACTGTCGTACTGGGCTGGGGTCAGCCTCCCGCTCTTCAGGGCGTCCTCGATGGAGAACTCCCTGCCAGACTTTCTGTCGAGGATCACAGATGATTCTCCGTTGGGACCCTTTATTGAGATCTCCTCCCAGTCACATTCCTGGCTCTTCAGTTTGACAAACAGGCTCCATTCAATGAGGCCAAACACGTGAGCTTCCTCTGGAGACATCTCTTTTCCTGTGTCAGGGTCAATGACCACGATGGAGCGCCTCAGGTGGTTCTCTCTTTGCTCTCTCTTGATAGCCACCGTCTTCAGGCGATTCTGGAGTTGCTCAATCTCTGCATCTTTTTCTCTGGATAACTGCTTCAGATCCTCTAACTCCCTTTCCAAAGCTTGGAACCTGGAGTCCAAGTTTATTCCACTGTCCACGTGGGTCATGTTTCTCAAATCCTGAGCTTCCGTTGCAGTGAGTTCAATTTCTGACTGCAGTCTCCTTGTTTCCATCAGCAGGTTCTGTTTCTCGAGGTGGAGCTTGTGGTTTTCCTCCCTTAACAAGTCTAGTTCCTTTGATGACTTGGAGTTGTTGAATTCTACCTCGGACAGCCTGGTTTCCAGGCGGTTGATATCTGCATCCAGCTCCCTCTTGCGCCTACTTTCTTCCTCCAGGTTGCTCTTCAGCTTTTGAATTTCATATTCCGTGTCTCCTTTGTCCACCTGGACGCTCTCTGAAAAGACCACTTTCTCCTTGACCTCCATTTTCTCCAAAGAAAGGAGCTTCTTTCTCAGGGCTTCTAGTTCAGTTTGCAGGACTTGCCTGCGGTGTTTCTCTTCTTCTAACTCCAGCTTGAGGAGGGAGTGCTCCTTCTCCTGCTGGGGATCTTGCTGAAGGATCACTTTCTGTTTCACAGTCACTCGTTCTGTCGTTTCTCTTTCCTGTTCTTCCAGCTCGTTCAGCCGGATCCTGAGCCTCTGCACCTCCAGCTCAGCCTCCCTGCGGGCCTGTCTCTCCTTCTCCAGCTCCTCCAGCTGCCGCTCCAGCTCGGAGCGTCTCCTCTGCAGCTTGCGCAGCTCCTCGCGGAGCCCATCGATCTGCTTCAGCTCGCTCTCGAGGCTCTGGGAGAAGGAGTTCACCTCAGCTTTCAAGGCAGGATCCTGCTCATACTTCACCACTTCCTGCTGGACCACTTTCTCCTTCACCTGGGAAAGTTCTTCCTCCTTCTGTCTTACTTTTTCTTCTTGGAGAAGTCGCTCCCTCTCCAGGTCAATGTGCTTCATTTGCTCATCTGCCAGCTGCACTCGCAGCGACTCTACCTCCTCTCTAGTCTTGGGGTCTTCCCGAAACTGGAGGATTTCTTGAACAACTTCCTTCATTTGCACTTGAGGTTTGGTGTCTTTCAAAGCTTGTATCTCTTGTTTCAGTTGGTAGATCTCCAGGTCAGCTCTTTCAATAGCTCCGGTCCTCTCTATGATTTCCTCCCGGAGTCGCTGGAGCTCCTTTTCAGTTTCTGGATCATTCTTGTATTTAATGACCTCCTTAATGACTTCTTTGACTTCTACCAGGGGCCCTCTGTTCTTCAGAGCAGCCAGCTCGTTCTGGCAGCTCTTGAGCTGCTCGTCCCCACCGTGGCACCTCCTCTCCTGCTCTACCAGCTCCAAGCGAAGGTTGGCAACTTCATTCTCAGCCTTGGGGTCTGGGCGCACGATCTCACGCACCTTCTCCTGAACAACCACCTTGGAGTTCTCCTCCTCCAGCAGCTGGATCTTCCTGAGCAGCTCAGCCTTTTCCCGCTCGCTGGAACGGCCCTTGGACTTCTCATCTTCATACTGGCGCCGGAGCTCATTTACCTCCCTCTCAATGGCCAGGTCTTTCTCCACCTTCAGCACCTCCTTGACGGTGATTTTGCCCTCGGCGATGGCCCGTTCCTTCTCCAGACGCCTGAGCTTCTCCTGGAGGAAGATGAGCTCCTCCTCGTGCTTCTGCCGAAGGGCGCTCTCCCTCTCCTTGGTCTCCTGCAACATCCGGAATTCCATCTCCAGCTGGGGATCGTTCTGCAGCTTCAGCACCTCCTTCTCCGTGACCTTCTCCTGCTCTTTGTTCTTCTCGCTGGACAGCACAGCGATTTGTTGGCGTAAGAGGATCACTTCACTCTCCCTGGTCCCTTCCTGCCTCCTGAGCTCTTCCAGTTCCTCTTTGAGCTTCAGGATTTCAGCAGCTTGAGCCTTATCTTGTTCAATCCTCAGCACCTCTTTCACGATGTACTCCTGCCCTCCTTCCCTCTTTTCGTGCTCTAGGACACGCAGCCGGATTTTAAGAGCCTCCAGCTCGTCCTGGAGCACCTGGTTCTTGCGCTGCTCTTCTGCCAGGTTTTGCTGCAGTCTGTGGAAGCTCTCCTCCAGCTGGGGGTCAGGCACCTTCTTCACCAGTTCTTTCTTCACCACAGTTTCTTGGGGCTTCTGGTTTTGCAGGTGGACAATGTTGTTCTGAATGGCTTCAATCTCTGCCTCGAGCTGTTGCCGGCGCTGAGTCTCATCCTCAAGCTCTTTCTTCAGCTTCCAGACTTCTTCCACAGGCCGTACAGACTTTTTGGTCTGGGCAAAGTCTTGTGTCACCTGACTCTCTGGCTGCTGTTGTTGGCAAAAGGATCCAAAAAAATGAGTAAAAAAAATCCGTTAATCACTCTTTTGGTGCTTATCATCACAGAACCGCAGAATCGTTAAGGTTGGAAAAAGCCTCCAAGATAATCGAGTCCAACCTGTGACTGATCCCCACCTCGTCACCCAGCCCAGAGCATGGGGTGGCACTTCCAGTCATTCCTTGGACACCTCCAGGAATGGTGGAACACATCCACCACCTCCCTGGGCAGCCCCTGCCAAGGCCTGACCACCCTCTCAAGTGAAGAAACTTCTGATGTTTAACCAGACCCTCCCACGGCACAACTCGAGGTCATTTCCCCTTGTCCTGTCCCTGTTCCCTGGGAGCAGAACCTGACCCCTCCTGGCTGCCCTCTGCTGTCAGGGAGTTGTGCAGAGCCAAGTTCCCCCCTGAGCCTCCTTTTCTCCAGGCTGAGCCCCTTTCCCAGCTCCCTCAGCCTCTCCTGGTGCTCCAGCCCCTTCCCCAGCTCTGGTCCCTTCCCTGGACACGCTCCAGCCCCTCAATGTACTTTTTGTCATGAGGGGCTCAGAACTGGACACAGAACTCAAGGTGCCTCAACAGTGCCAACACAGAGGGGCAATCACTGCCCTGGCCCTGATGGCCACACGATTCCTGACCCAGGCCAGGATCTCGGTGCCTCCAGCAAAGCAACAGGAGGGAGTTGATCTGTGGCAAGCTCTGAGCAGGGAGCATTTGGAAATGGACTTCTCTGCAGGTTCCCAGCCTGAGAAATCCTTTCTGCAAT